AAGAACACGACATTGGTTAACTAGGCTACGTGTTGTGTAATAGAACTTCGTTCTCAGCCCTTGGAGTTCTTCCGTGCTTGCGTGTTACAGGAGCACATTTCGTCCTTGAATCCTGACCTTAACACTGCCAATTAGACGACCTCGTAAAGGTCGTGTGTTGTGTGACTTTAGCGTCATCCCATAGGACGTCCTCATGTTTGTCAAATGGGTGGTTCTGAGAGAGTAATCCATCGTATTGTTATTAATGGATTATTATTTTATAGAATGAACACCTGAAACATGGTGATGGTGCACCTAAACGTGAGCGTTTTTGTTATTTTGCATTATACTTGCACGCACGATTCACAATGTGAAGGCAGTTCTAGTACAACTTGTTTATTGCAGATAAGCGTCCGAACTTTTTTCGAAAATTGGGAGATCGTATTCTCCGAGCTTTCCACAGGAAGCCTCGTGGTCGTATAACACGAATCGATGATAGATACACTCATTCAACTGGCGACCTTATTAATGATGTACAGGACTCCAGAACAAAAACAACCGATGACTTTAGTTCCTCCGGTGTTCGATGTGAACTTCCTGGCCCATCATTGAGGTGAGTAATGGCTGTGTGCCTTTTGCCCACCTGCCCCATTGTCATTTTGAAGTGCTGTACCCAAGCTTGTCCATCTTATCTTGTAAGGGACAAAATGGAATGGAAGAGTTTTTTGAGTGAGTACAAGGTTAGTGCAGGGATTACGAGGACAAACGTATTCCAAACGTTTGCTTAGCTTGGGTATGTACTCAATACACTACTGCAGGATTAGAGGAGACTTGATGCTTCCTTACCGTATCGTAACTGGTAAGATCGGTCCAGACTTGTCCTAGCTATATAGTCCCGCCAAGTTGGCTAGTCTCCGACGTCATCCGTGGAAGCTGCACAAACTGCGTTCTGACCCAGTATGGACGGAACCTCGCTTGTTGCGTCGAATTAGTGAACGTTGGAACTCGATTCCGGAGCACGCCGTTAGGGAGTCTACGGTTGAGGGTTTCGCGCGTCAGTTAGATTCTCTTGGGTGGCAGTACCACACCTCCCCCTTCTCCTAACCGACTTGTATCTCCAACTTTCCCTTCGTTTTGTAATTTTCTCACACCTTGATGTTCTCATTATTTAGCTGACGTTCCTCCTCTTGTTTTCTTAGCTTACCCTTCACTCTTTTAGTTCACATTAACCGGCCTGGCAGGGACTGCCGGGCAGGAAAACGTGGTCACTAATTGGTTGGACAGAGTCTGATGGGGTCTTTGTTTTAGGCTTTTCAGCATCTCAAGCAACCTGTCAGTTCCCGATCCTACGAACCGCAAAAAAGGAACATTCACTGGATTATCCTGTCGTTCCGGTCCCAGCTAAACTTGAGGTTGAACTTGAATTCTTTTACGCATGCCACTAATCAAAGGCGATTTTAATTATCTATTATCTACCCTTCTCCATGTGGCTAAAAATTGCAAAGATACTGTACCTTGCCGTGTCATTATAGTTACTATGATGTTCTCCCGCTCTGTCATTACGCCATACCGGCATTTCGCCACGCAACCACCATGAATCGCGCGTTTGCTGCTCATACTGCAAGGGTCGCAGAATCCCTTACGCGGGCTGGAACCCACGACTTCCGGGTTGCGAGGCGCTCGCCTTGTTCTGTCGGCCTCTGGCCGGCAAACCCTATCCGTCAGTTAAATAAATGAATAGGGTATATCCTCCGTTTTACGAATAATACCCTTTCCAGCATGATCAGGATTTCACAGTCATGTTGCGCACTCGCAACCACCGGAGGCAACATGTGCCTTAATGTAGTGCTAGAGCTGTAGCTTATTTTAAAGAAACGAAAAGTCAAAAGTATGGTCTCCTAGAGACCTGCTTTCATGCGAGGTAGTCCTCCATAAAGTTTTAGCCGCAATTTCACGCCCATCTGGCAATGTGCCGGTTCTGCTTGCAATCATGCGCATCATCACCACTCTTATTCATCACTCAGGCCACTTTTATCTTCGATCAGGATAAGCACTTCAGCCTAGTCCGGCCGCGTTCCAGTGTGACCTAAATTCGAACAGGTCATTACCGTCTTAACTTTTATTTCGGGCTATTTCATATGCAATTAGGATGGCCACTTTGGTCGTTCCGTCCATTTGACTCTTTGAAGTGTAGCGCTTTTTGCCCTCAGTGTATTTGTAAGCAGTTCGTCTTGCGAAGTTACACTGCTCCTCTCATAAGCTTCAGTCTCACCTCAGGAACTAGGCCGAGTCATGGCCAACAATGAAAGGAACACTAATGAAACAGTTGTGTAGTTACTCGTAATATTAGACATTGCTACGGGCCTATTGTATGATGTAGCATAAAGTACATAGCGGCGACGTAACGCCAAATATAAAATACTATAAATAACAGTATCTGTCATTCTGGCATATATATATATACATCAATAAAGAAGGGAAAATGAAGTCTGTTTTTGTCCTACTGGAAGGAAAAATTTATGTTCTGACGACAAAACGATATTACCATTTGGAAGAAGTCTATTTCATTTACTTCTTCAATGTGAATGATGAATCTTTAAAGACAAGATTTTGATATGCGGGTGGAGGAGTAGACAATCTGGAAAGGCGGTTGGAGGATGGGATGGAAAATAGATGCTCAAATATTATTAGATCCGCATTCATATACATACTCATCCACGCGATTGTGACAAACCAATTCTTTGATGTTTTTTAGTGTATGGTGATTGGCTTGCTCTTTATATGCCCAAATGGATGCTGAACTTCTGATGGTTTAGAGCAATCTATTCCACAGCGGCGGATATTTGAGCGTAAATAAGTTACTTCGGAGTCGCGTGCAACAGCGTTTCTCAGGTTATATGGCGAATGTTCTTGGAATTCCGGTTCTTAAAAAGTTTGTTTCCGTTTGTCGATGGAAAATTTTGTGGAGCAGACATGGATTTAGTTTTCACCTTCGACGTCACAGTGGCTCGAGATTTAGGTTGCATCCATCTTTATAAGATAGTGTGTGTGCAACCCACAAGTCTTCTTTTAAAGGATCTCTGGATTGCTTCGATATCCAGTTTCTCTCATTCTCATGCTGTTAATAGTGATCGTACAATATCCTAAAATAGGTCGGCATAAACTGAAAGTCAGAAGTTTAGCACAGTTGTCGTAAACAAGCGGCTCAACATTCCAATGGTTTGTCGTTCTTCATCTCCAGTATGCCTAATTTGTTCTTTGAAATTAAGCGTACAAGAGTAACGCATACCCTAATCGCAGATAAAATTACATATTGGAAGTGGGTGATTACGCACCAAAGCTTCCTAATAGAACACAACTTCCGTAACACTTGATACTGCACTTACTCGTCAAATAGCCCATTGTGGAACTGGAGCACCACTTTTCCAGACAGACCAAGTCCTTTCGTATTTCTGAGACCAAATTAGCGTTTTATGATTCTGCAGTATATACACTTGCGGGTAGGTTATTTAGCCAAAGGCTCGGGGTGGAGTCCCCTAAGTCAACTCCCTACTTCGGCTTGGGCAACCGGGTAGTATCACGCCCTCTCGCAAAACCATGGACTGTATTACAACTTGCTCATCAGCTGCTGTTTCTGCTAGTCACTTTCACGCGACTTCAGCACACGCCAATTGTTTGTTTGTTCACAATCCTCATTTTCCCTTACCCGATTCATGTGCTCAGCAATCTGGCTGCGATTCCGGTTGCGCCGCAGACCAAGAGGTTCAACCCGTGGCTCTCCTTCGTCCCCGATCCTCGTTCCGTCTGGCGTGCTTCAACGTTCGGACACTCATGCAGATTGGACAGCAAGCCGGTCTAGCGCGCACTCTAGAGTCCCTAGACATTGATGTCTGCTGCCTTTCAGAAACCCGATTGCAAGATCCCAGCACTGTGCTTACACTGACATCCCCCACTGACCACGAAGCCAGATATCACCTGCGTCTTTCTGGAGATCCAGAAGCAGCCTCAGCGGGTCTGGCTGGTGTAGGTATAGCACTAAGTGACAAGGCCGAGGCGGCACTACTGGACTGGTTCCCTATTAACAGCCGATTATGTGCAGTTCGGCTTCGGGGTTCGTGTAGAATCAACAGGCACCGCGAAGAGAGACGTAACTTGTTTGTGATCTCTGTGTACGCTCCAACTGACTGCAGTGGCGACTCGGTCAAGGACGAATTCTATCGGGATCTACAACAACTCTTGACTAATGCTAAAAAGTCGGATGTCGTTATCCTTGCTGGGGATTTTAATGCACGGGTTGGCCGCCTGTTACCATACGAACGCCACCTTGGTGGTCATCACGCGCTCGATGAGAACCGCTCTGATAACGGAGAGAGACTTCTCACATTGTGCGAAGACAACCGTCTGTTTCTTTCGAGCACTAACTTCAGGCGTACGAAGAAGCGTTCCGCAACGTGGCGTCCCCCTTCTTCAACACAACCGTGGTCTCAAATTGATCACATTGCAATTGGCTTCAGATGGCGCGGCAGCGTACTAGACTGCAGGTCCTTTTGGTCCACATTCGTTGACTCAGATCATGCTCTGGTCTGCGCGAAAATTTGTATGTGTTTTGGAGGATCCCGAAGCACGAAGCACCGCAAGATTGATGTAAACAGATTAACTGATTCCTCTGTCCAGACGAGCTATCAGTCTTCATTGGCATATGCACTCAGTTGCAATCCACCGCAAGAAGTGGAACAACACTGGACTTGTATACGGAAGGCAATGACCATTTCCGGACAGTCATGCTGTGGCCTAACTCGACGCCCATTGAAGGCTTGGATCTCTGCTCGTTCTCTGGAGCTGTTCGAACGCCGCAAAGATATACCCGCGGAATCAGATTGCAACGAGCGGCGCCGTTCTGCCAACCGGCTGCTCAAGCAAAGCCTACGCAAGGATCGCGAGACATGGTGGTCTGAACGTGCTTTAGAGATGGAGACCGCTGCCCTCTCTGGCAACACTCGCAGGCTTTTCCAACTCATTCGGTCCACTGGCCTCAGGAAACCTGGTGTCAGTGAGGTCATTTGTGAGGTGGATGAGTCTCCGATCACCAACCAACAGAGGCGTATGGACCGTTGGGCCGAGCACTTTCACTCGCAGTTCAACTGGCCTCCACCATCCATCAGTACATGCAGTACACGTTGTTGTCCACCCTGGCTCGTCCCTCTGAATCCACCCAGCGAAGCGGAAGTCGGCCTTGAGATTCGACGCTTGAAGCGCTTCAAGGCTGCCGGATTAGACGGACTTCCTCCGGAGCTATTCAAGTACGGCGGTGTGGCGATCATTAAGCAGCTGACCGCGCTGTTCGCAAAAATTTGGCATGAAGAGAAAGTGCCTTCCTCTTGGGGAGAATCAGTCATTATCCCGATTTTCAAGAAAGGCGCTCGCACTTCATGTGCAAATCATCGCGGGATTAGTCTTATTTCGGTTGCCTCTAAACTATTGGCATCCATTCTGCTTCGCAGGCTATCCCCAGTACGTGAATCATACTACCGTGAAGAACAAGCTGGTTTCCGTCCTGGCCGCGGATGTGTGGATCAAATCTTCACGCTCCGCCAGCTCCTCGAACATCGCCAC